TTATTCCACAACGAATGTTTGAAATACAAACTGAGTAGAGAAAAGTATCTTCTGTACAATTCAGTGTTCATATAGAAGTATTTGTTTCGAATTTTTTTTTTCTTTCGTGTAATTCAATGTTTATATGAAAGTAGCTGTTTCAGGAGGAGATTCTTTCAGTTTGTGTCTGAAAGTTACTTCTTTGTATGATCTTCACATCCATGTATAGAGTTACTTATTTACAAATTGATTACTTTACCTACTTCCTTTCTTTGGAAGATTCCCTCATCCTTTTTTTGTTTCAAGATGGAGTAGTAGAAAGCCAAAAACTTTCTTTCCCAAAAATTATTCACTCCTAAAAATATAACCCCTTCAATTCAAATATGATTCACTTACCAAAATCCTTTGGAATCGTCTTATGAAATAATTCCAGATCCAAAATGTCGATGGCATATTGAACATGTAATATTTTAATGTGGCATAAAGTAATTCCTGATTGATCGTGTCAAATGCTTTAGAGAAGTCGAGTAATACCAAATCAGTTGATATATTTGCGTCATTTGCAGGTAAAATATCAGTTACAGCTGCTAGAGCTGTTTCAGGACTCTACCAGGTCCAAAGCCACATTGACTTTTGTAGAAGAATCTTTCGAATATTTTGGAGATGTGGGTAGCAATTTTATTATTCTCAAATCAGAGTATTCTTTGGGATTGTTTTTTTTGGAATTGGTATACCAATGCAATTTTTCCAAAGCATCAGAAAGTACGATCTTTAAGTGTAATGTGAGCTATATCTTTGTCAATATACGGGCTAGAGAATAGTAACAATCTCAAGTTTATATTATCTACTCCAAATGTCTTATTCTTGATAAAATGTAGAATATATGTAGAAAACAAACAATTTTGACAGTTTGTTTTCTGTCTGATCTTTTGTAGTTTGGTGAGTTTTCCAGTCTGAGTTGGCCCATCCTGGCTTCCCCCATTATCACAAAGTGTGAAGGAGGTAGATTTAGAAGTGTCTCCAATGCAGCTTTTGGGGTAGTTCTCATTGCTCCCGTCATTCCCAAACATGCAAGTCTTTGCACCTTACCTAGTTTGTTGCTGGTGGTCGCCTGCTTCATCTTTGGCCACCAGACCAGAGATGCGTATGTTATCATGGGTTTAACCACCATCGTGTATAGCCAATATACCATGTCTGGTTTTAGTCCCCATGTTTTTCCATAGGTGCGTCTGGCGAGCATCAGTGCTACCTCCGCTTTCCTCTTTATCCTGTCCAAGTGTTGGTTCCAGGTCAGTTTGGAATCTAGGATTACTCCCAGATATTTTACCTCCCCCGACACTTAGAATTTCTTCACCTCGAAGTTTTAGAGGTCCAAGACCCTCCGTTTTAGTCCTCTTGGGTAATGCTACTATGGTCGATTTGGATGGGCTTATGTTAAGCTCTTCTTCTTCGGTTTACCTTATTATAATGTTCAGGGCCTGTTGAATGCATCCCTTCACTAGATATTGTATTTACCCTGGATTAAGATGACTAAGTCGTCTGCATAGCCCAGTGCTTTAAACTCATCATGGTCCAAGAGACATAGTAGCTCGTCCATTACAAGGTTCCATAACAGAGGGGATAGAACCCCTCCCTGAGGACAGCCCTTTGCTACCCGTGACACGACTGTTTCCCCCATAATGGTTGTATATACCAATCTTCCCCTAAGCATGCAGTCTATCCACCTACAGCTTGTCTTGTCGACCCCTCTTCTCCTCGACGCCTGGATGATTGATTCTAACGACGTATTATCAAATGCGCCCTCAATGTCCAAGAAAGCAGCTAAAAGTACTTCCTTGTTTTTGTAAGTATATTCTACTTTTTCTGTTACCCGACATAGAGACGTTTCTGTTGACATACCTGACCTGTATGCAAATTAGTCTCAATGTAATGGTCTGCCATACATGAAGAACAATATATTAATAATAATAAACGTCATTTATTGGTGAATGCCAAAGGGCCATCGAACGAAGTCCTTCAGCCAGCAATATATTATTTTGCACCAAAATTGTATAATAGACTGCTGAAAGAAACAAGGTTACTAAGTAACTATCTCGGTATTATCCTTCTCTAATATAGTGTCTAAAGGCATTACATACCCAAGTTAATAAAATAACCTACTATTTAAAACACAACAATTTATTTCACCAATATTCTCTGCTTTTCATGTTGTCTATCGTTCTTTCTTTTAATTAGTAGTTGATTTTTCGTTATTCTTTCCGTTTTCACATCTTTTATGAAATAATTCACATGTCGTACTGTACCAATTATTACTAAAAGTGTTCCGTGAAGAGGAAAATGAAAAGCCTTGGTTTGCGAATCGTTTTTCTTCAAACGGCTCAAATGACCCGACTATTAAAACTATATCTTCTTTTTGAACCAAAATAAACTGAAATGAACTTCTTGGTCGGTCAGTAGCCAGGCGGTTCGACGTGGGTGCTTTGTTCATTCACTCGAATTGACTGCCGTGTTGGTCGGTGGTTCAAGCCCCAGGCTAAACGATCGATTTTCACTTGCTATTGTCCAACCCGTGTTAGGAACCACACGTTAAAAGGTAAGACCTCGTGAATCCTCAGCTCGCACAAGTTTCGACTTCTGAGGGTTGTCGTTCGTAGGAGTGCGACGAAAAGACAGATTTTCAAACAGAATTTTTTATTGTATTCAAATGAAATTCATTCTCTTACACTCACATTCGCTGTAAGTATAATAACGTTTAATTTATAAGTTTGAAAATGTCCTTATAGGACGAAACTGCAGTAACGTTAGTCACAAATAAAAATGGTAAAAAACATAGAAAGTTTCAATTTTCTTTTCTTCAATATTGGAATTTTATTTAAAGGCCGTGAAGAACCCTCACAGTGGGAATCGAAAGCTTGGCAAAGAGAAACAGAGTTTTTATTGTTAATCCAGTCATTTAAGCTTAAATTAGGTAAGAATCTCGGAATTCTAGATACCCAGCTGTAAGTCTGTAAATACTTGTATATTGACACCCTAAAAGTTGTCTCAAAACCTACNTGCTTACACCCTACCATATGTAGGTTTTGAGACAACTTTTAGGGTGTCAATATACAAGTATTTACAGACTTACAGCTGGGTATCTCGAATTCCGAGGTGAACTTACTATAATGACTGGACTATGTTGATTTATTGACTGAGATACCCCGTTAATCTATTCAATTCAGCCGGAAAGAATAAAATATGTGTTAAATCAAAAGGTTCGAACGAGCTCACCTGAGACATCTTTCAATTTCGTAGCAAGTTCAAGTCCACTAACAAAATGAGTATCGGTCGGCTCCTGCAAAGGATTTATAAAATCATTTGTAGGTGGTGAAGGAGTAATCAGTGGACAAATCGAAGCAACTTCGTCCGCCAAAAGAGAGCTGCTCGGCGAGGCAGGTAGTAGTGTGGAGTTTTTGACTCCTAAAAATCCTTCCATTTCTAAAAAGGGTCAGAGGATTGCTCTTTCATCATTGGCGACACCTGAAATTTGGAAATGCCTGTTATAGTTTTAAATGTCACAAATTATTATTGTTTTCAAATCATTGTTTGCAAATATTGTGGTTTCATATTAAACTCAAATTAAAACATAAACTTAACGGACGTCTTATGAAACAATTAAACCATCAAATAAATGTTTTATATCAAAGAGCTCAGAACCCAAAATCAAAACTTTTTTTATTGGTGAAGCATTTTTTTGTTAAAGAAGATTCCCATACAGATTGATTGGTGGCGAGAATAAGTACCTTTGTGCTAAAGAACTTCTACCAGAGTAATTGAAATGGTTATAAATGTGGACATTCAGTTAGCGATTTATGACAAAAAATAATAATAATAATAATGTTTATTCAGATTCAAATCACAAAAAGAATCAACTAAAGTAATACATGCAGTTGAATAAACATCGTAGAAACCACAGAAGCATCAGATGTTGCTTGTATGTGGTGAAAGGGAGATCCAAAGAAAAAAATTAATATATGATAAATAAATAAATATGATAATATGAGAATAAATTATATAAAGGGGATTTGCATATGAAAATAAGCTACT